AAGTGTTGCATGTAATTCAGAGTTTTAAATACATTAGGTATCGTAACGTTTTTCGCTACATTAACTCCGGGTGTTACAAACAATTTCACATATTATTTACCCTAGTTTATTTCGCTGTATTACAAAGTGTTGCATGTAATTCAGAGTTTTAAATACATTAGGTATCGTAACGTTTTTCAATACATTAACTCCGGGTGTTACAAACAATTTCACATATTATTTACCCTAGTTTATTTCGCTGTATTACGAAGTGTTGCATGTAATTCAGAGTTTTAAATACATTAGGTATCGTAACGTTTTTCACTACATTAACTCCGGGTGTTACAAACAATTTCACATATTATTTACCCTAGTTTATTTCTCTGTATTACGAAGTGTTGCATGTAATTCAGAGTTTTAAATACATTAGGTATCGTAACGTTTTTCGCTACATTAACTCCGGGTGTTACAAACAATTTCACATATTATTTACCCTAGTTTATTTCAATGTATTTAAAACTCTGAATTACATGCAACACTTCGTAATACAGCGAAATAAACTAGGGTAAATAATATGTGAAATTGTTTGTAACACCCGGAGTCAATGTAGCGAAAAACGTTACGATACCCATCAAAGCAATGCCCTCATTTTCAAAGTGAAGGTTATATTTACTTGAAACAACAACAAACAAACAATAACAACTTCTTTGATTCAACATTCTATTACAATGAAGCTGAACCTATCTCCTGGTACAGTTAAAAAACAAACAAACACATATTTGAAGTTGATAAAAAAAAATTCATAAGCAGAGGGTTCACAAACTTTGAGTCACACTTCGAAATCAACGAGAGAGAGAAAATAGCCCAAGAAACTGGTCAAATTTCCCATGCAGTTCCAATAAACTTTGGTTATCTTGGTCTGTTTAAAAGTGTGCTTAGAAGTCATAGACCAACGATATTAGCTAGCTAATGGAACACTGCACAAGAGGAGCTATATAACAATACAAGATGGGCATAACTTTTCCCCGGAGAAGCCTGTTCTCAAGACACCATCTCTGTAATGTCAGTGTTTAGAGACAGGGGAAGCAAACAGAGAATGACTATCGAAGAAACTACTGTCTTCAGTACTTATGTGGAACAACATTTCTGAGAAGATGAATGGCCTCCGCTACCTTAAGAAAACCTGAAGGATCAATTACAATACAGGAAACAGAATTAGGTGTGAGGATCAATTACAATACAGGAAACAGAATTAGGTGTGAGGATCAATTACTATACAGGAAACAATTAGAAGTGAGGAACATTAAAAAATACGGGAAACAGAAATCAGAAGTAAGGATCAATTAAAAATACGGGAAACAGAATGAGAAGTGAGGATCATTAAAATACGGAAAACAGAATGAGAAGTAAGGAGCATTAAAAATACGGGAAACAGAATGAGAAGTGAGGATCAATTAAATAATGAGAAGTGAGGATCATTAAAATACGGAAAACAGAATGAGAAGTGAGGAGCATTAAAAATACGGGAAACAGAAATGAGAAGTGAGGATCAATTAACAATACGGGAAACAGAATGAGAAGTGAGGATCAATTAAAAATACGGGAAACAGAAATGAGAAATAAGGTTCAATTAAAATACGGGAAACAGAATGAGAAGTGAGGATCAATTAGAAATACGGGAACAGAATGAGAAGTGAGGATCAATTAAAAATACGGAAAACAGAATGAGAAGTGAGGATTAATTTAACAACTGGGAAAGAGAACGAGAAGAAATATATACTTCTTTATTAAAGAAATTGAGAAATCCAAGCATGTGGAAACAGGTAGGGTAGAAATGCATGGATTTGAACACGTGCTGTTTAAATTGACTGTTTGGTCATAAAAAGTATAGTTAAGCCCAACACAACAGAGGCCTTTTTTTTACAAATACTTTTCTTTAAAAAAAAAACAAGAGCCGACATCCAGAGTATTTTTTTCCGAAAAAAATGCTTGGTCCAGAAAATATCCTTAATCTCTGATATTAGAGCATAACAAACATACCAACGTCTTCAAGAAGCCACAAAGGAATGTAGCAAGTTCAGACAGAAACTGTTCCACAAAATTATCATCAAAATATTTGTCAAAAAATAATATAAAAAAGTGACCATACGGAGGACTTTTCCCTCTAGAGACCAAAAACAGTAAAGACGAATACCAGGAGTAGGGGGAATGCCATTTACAAACAGTAATTATTCTTTCACAAACTATAACAATAACAGAGTGTTTAAAAGCTTAGTTTTTTAATGTTTAATAGGTAAGACAAAACTGATTTCGTCTGTGTATTTCATTAATGATGTATTTATTTTGTAATAGCAAGCTTGCTTTTTTTTACCCGTTGGAAAATCACTTGTTTCCGTGTTTTAAATGTTTTTATAACCACATTTTGTTGTCCAGACACTACTCGAATTATTAGAAACACTAACGTATTTTTCACTTAATGCTTTAGTTGAGTAATCACTTCTGTCTTTAAAAAGCTTTTATTTCGGCGTTCCATAGAAAATAGAATCCTTTCTAGCCATTGTGATACAAAGACACTTTCTTTGTGTGTGTTTAGTTTCATCTTTTAGCCCTTCTTGACGACAGAAAAGGCGCTTCAATTGATCAACACTAATGTAACTATTGCATCTGCCATGAGAACACATTTGGGTTTCGAGTCAATACCGACGCTCCTAATAATAGGAATCAATCTAAAATAGTGTCATGTTTGTAGGAACAGATATACCTTACCTATGGAGGGATAGAAAAACAGGTAAAGCCGAGATCTGATTTGATTCCCAACCAGTCTGCTTTTGTGAATAACTTGATTGAAGAAAAGTTCGTTTTACAGAAAGAGAAACTCAATGTAGGTGTAATACAAAAGTTTCTAAGTAAACATCGACAAAATTGAACCTACTACAAATTAGTGGTCACGTAGTTGTTTAACACACATTTCTAAAATTACAGCAGAAAAAAAAGAAAAAATTAGTTACACATAAAACGCTACAATGTCAAACGTTCGATTCATTCTTGGATCTTCTGAAAACACTGAGAGAAACGAAAGTAACGTAAGCTGATGAAATGGGATAAGGTTGTTACTTGTCCCACTCACAGTGTGATAACCACACTAAACCTTCCGTGTGATAGTGGCACTAAACTTCAGTGTTCAGTGTGATAACCACACTAAGCTTCAGTGTTCAGTGTGATAACCACACTAAACCTTCCATGTGATAGCCGCACTAAGCTTCAGTGTTCAGTGTGATAACCACACGAAGCTTTCACAGTGATAACCACACTAAACCTTCCATGTGATAGCCGCACTAAGCTTTCACAGTGTGATAACCACACTAGGTTTTACAGTGACAACCCCACTAAGCTTTCACAGTGATAGCCACACTAAGAGCTCAGTGCGACAACCACACCAGGTTTTACAGTGACAACCCCACTAAGCTTTCACAGTGATAACCACACTAAGAGCTCAGTGCGATAACCACACTAAGAGCTCAGTGCGATAACCACACCAGGTTTTACAGTGACAACCCCACTAAGCTTTCACAGTGATAACCACACTAGGTTTCACAGTGTGATAATCACACTAAGGGCTCAGTGTGATAGCCACACTAAACCTTCCGTGTGATAGCCGCACTAGGCTTCAGTGTGATAGCCACACTAAACTTTCCGTGCGATAACCACACTAAGGGCTCAGTGTGATAGCCACACTAAACCTTCTGTGTGATAGCCACACTAAACCTTCTGTGTGATAGCCGCACTAAGCTTCAGTGTTCGGTGTGATAACCACATTATGTTTCAGCGTGATAGCCACACTAAATTTTCCGTGTGATAGCCGAAATAAACTTCAATGTGATAACCACACTAAGTTTTCATCTTTCAGTGTAATAACCATACAAAACCTTCATTGTGACAGTCACACTAAACTTTCAGTGTGATAACCACACTAAGTTTTAAGTGTGATAACCACACTACGTTTTCACTGTGATAACCACACTAACTTTTCACTGTGATAGTAACACTAAGCTTTCACTGTGATAACCACACTAAGTTTCATCGTAATAACTACATCAATCTTTAAGTATAATGAACACAAGTTCTAAGTGGTCAAGTGTAGTATTATTGTCCACTACTGGAAATCGAATTCTGGATGTTAGCGCTGTAAGTCCTTAAATTTAACGCTGACCTGAAGTAACAGACAAATTGACTAGGGCACTCGCTAACTCAGTAAAAAATCCAGCAAAACGCTAGCGTAGTCTAACTTGTGTTTTTATATCGTTAAATATATTCCCAAACTCTAAATAAAAAGTTCAAACACCACGCGCTCATTACGTCACATCAAAATCTCTACAACGAACAACAAGAATGTCTAAATTCAATTATTAAATCACATAACCTACAAGAACAGGACTCAGTCACCTTCCTTCTCGAGCAGATGTCAATAGAATTAAGCTAATCTCATGAACATGTTTACTGAGTTGTACCCAGCAATGAACTGTATGCGTACAAACGTGTTTGTAACACTGGAAGAAGAACTGATAAGTGAAAAGAGTTTCACACTGCCAGATGTTATGTTCCGAATTTGTTGCATAGATCATACCTTATGCATTTTGATCCTAATAGTTTTTTCTAATAGGATTTCACATCCTGAGATTAACAGCAAAGCATAAGATATGCCAAATTATCATAACATCAAAGAACTATCACACGACACAGGTTTTGCTCCCCCCTACCATCTATTCTTTTGGTTTTGCTTCCCCCCCTACCACCTATTCTTTTGGTTTTGCCCTCCCCTCCTCCCCAGTGGCACAGCGGAATGCCTGCGGACTCACAATGCTAGAAGCCGGGTTTCAATACAGATAGCCCATCGTGTAGCTCTGGGTTTAACTTCAAACAAACAAAATCTTTTGTTTCTGTTGATTTAAGAAAAACTAAAAACCTCATTTCTTTAAACTCGTTTTAACCGTTATTCAGTCACTACTTCAGCGTTTATTTTAAGAGGCGCTCTGTGCAAATTAATATAAGTTTGGGTTTGGGTGTTGTTAAAGTGCAAAGACACCCAATGGGCTATTTGTGGTCTGCCCATCACGTGTATGTAAGTCCGGTTTTTAGCGTTGTAAGCCTGCGGATTTACCGCTGAGCTACTTGGGGGGGGGGGGCATTAATTTAAGAATTACAATCTGTTCTGTTGTATACAATTTAACATAAGTCTTAAATACGTGGAACGATACCGTTTTTAAAATATTACACACCGAAAGTTGGTAGTGGTCAGTAAACGAGGCGAAACTGGTCCTGGTGATTGTCCTTTTAAAATCGATTTTTATCTGATTAACCCCACTGTTTTGGGCGTTACAATAAATTCCGAGGGGTAAAGAAATTATGTTTTATAAGAAACGACTTCACTAACAAAGTCGCGCGTGTTTAAGAGATTAAGAAATCAACCACAAGAATAAAGCACAATGACTATAAAATATTGGTTTTTTTTTGTTTCCATAATCAATTGTTCTCAGAAAGAGATTTACTCACGCATTGCCCGGATGAGCAGATTCATGATTTTTACCCCTTTTACTTACGTTTCACGAGTAAAAATTCACGAAACTCTTGTGCATTTCTGAATACTGGAGGACATGGTAGAGTTGGGCAAAACAATGGCACTGATTCTTCAGAATACACGGAGAGTCTATAAAAAAAAAGAACAAACATCAAAATGTGTTATTTTTGAGTAATTCGGTTTTGAAAATTGAGAAAAAGAAACAGAGATGAAAATGTGCTAGTTCTGTGTAATTCGGTTTAGTAAACTGAGTAAAATAACAGGCATGAATATGTGTTACTTCTGTGTAATTCGGTTTAGTAAACTGAGTAAAATAACAGGCATGAAAATGTGCTATTTCTGTGTAATTCGGTTTGTAAATTGAGTAAAATAACAGGCATGAAAATGTGTTACTTCTAGGAATTCGGTTTAATAAATTGAGGAAAAAGAACAGACATGAAAATGTGTTACTTCTGTGTAATTCGGTTTAGTAAACTGAGTAAAATAACAGGCATGAAAATGTGCTACTTCTGTGTAATTCGGTTTGTAAATTGGCGAAAAAAGTGAAAATGTGTTACTCCTGTGTAATTCGGTTTAGTAAATTGAGGAAAAAGAACAGACGTGAAAATGTGTTACTTCTGTGTAACTTGGTTTAGTAAATTGAGGAAAAAGAACAGACGTTAAAATGTTTTACTTCTGTGTAATTCGGTTTAGTAAATTGAGGAAAAAGAACAGACGTGAAAATGTGTTACTTCTGTGTAATTCGGTTTAGTAAATTGAGGAAAAAGAACAGACGATTAAAATGTGTTATTTCTGTGTAATTCGGTTTAGTAAATTGAGGAAAAAGAACAGACGTGAAAATGTGTTACTTCTGTGTGATGTACTTTTGTAATTGAAAAATGAAACCGTTTTTATTATATTTTCATTACCAACTTGCATTTGTCGTTATGTCACGTGACGTTTAATTCATATTAAGCTATGCTGATTGAGACTTTTCACCGAAAATAAATGCTTTTTTTGTTTCTTTCTTTTTTTTTTAGAAACTTGAAGAAAGCTAGAATCTTTTCTATCCTGAGTGTATAATATGTTATAGTAAACGTACGTGGTTAAACTTTAACTTACTTGAAGGTCTCACCTTCTGAATCATAAGTTATAACAGCAAAGATATCTGGTAAAAGTCAAGGATCTTCAAGATGGCGTCCGTTTCACACCGTACTCAAAGATATACATCCACATTGCTAAGACAGGCGACTCCATATAAATATTATTTTTAGCGAGATTTTGCGTATCTGTATATCTATTTTAAATATTAGACTACTCTCTCTGAGGAAGAAAAAGACATAAAAATTGCAGAAAAAATAAAAATAGGTTCACTCTGATACTTGTTAAAATTGTATGTGAAAACTTTTGTACACGTTTGGAGTTAATACAAACTACTTATTTTCCAAGCAAAGATATCTTTTGTCTTTTTTTAAACTTTTTCGGTTAAAATGAGTAAGATTACATTTTCATTACTACAGATGAACCTCTGTAACACACCGTAAATGGTTAAAATGAGTATAAGTACATGTTAACTATTACAGATGAACCTAGAGATACAAAAATCAAGTATACGAAATTGATATTTAAAATATTTTTTAAAGTACTATAGCTATAACTTGGCAAGAGTAAATCGCTCATGTAATAACTGAAAATACATAAGGTCTCTGTAACTTAGGGTAACACGTAACTAAAAGACACCATGATGAACAGTAGGTTGGATTACATGCAACACTTCGTAATACAGTGAAATAAACTAGGGTAAATAATATGTGAGATTGTTTGTAACACCCGGAGTCAATGTAGTGAAAAACGTTACGATACCTAATGTATTTAAAACTCTGAATTACATGCAACACTTTGTAATACAGCGAAATAAACTAGGGTAAATAATATGTGAAATTTTTTGTAACACCCGGAGTTGCATAGTTTCGGAACTCGTCATTATGAGAGTGAATTTTCCACTTTCCAGTATGTCTGCGGTTTTACAACGCTAGAAACCGGGTTTCGATACCCGTGGTGGGCAAAGCATAGATAGCTCTTTCTGTAGCTTTGTGTTTAACTTCAAACAAACAAACACTTTCTAGTCCAACAAATAAAACCTTATATAGGTAAAATGGTTTGTTTGTTTGTTATGAATTTCGCTCAAAGCTGCACGAGGGCTATCTGAGCTACCCGTCCCTAATTTACCAGTGTAAGGCTAGAGGGAAAGCAGCTAGTCATCACCACCCACCGCCAACTCTTGGGCTACTCTTTTACCAACGAATAGTGGGATTGACCGTCACATTATAACGCCCCCACGGCTGAAAAGGCGAGCATGTTTGGTGGGACGGGGATTCGAACCCGCGATCCGCAGATTGCAGGTAAAATGGAAGACGTATATTATGTAGTTATTTTAGCATGCTTCACAATAAATTTGAAGTTTGAACTTTAGCTTAACTTGAATTGCCATTTCTGAGATCCTATGCAATTCTGCTGCATTTACTACGTTGTTTTTGTTGTTTTGTTCAACATTAAAATCGGCAAAACGGTGTATTTTTTCATCCTTTGTAAACCTGGTTAAAACATAATTTATTCGCCTGTGCTGGCTGCGGTCAGTGGCGTAACAAATATAGTCATTTTAATTAAAAGAACGCAATGTTTACAGGTCCACGCATAGGTTTTTTTTCAGCTTTTCTACAATCCATCGCCTAAATCATGCCTTGAAGACGTTGTCTGGAATTTTTATAACTCGAAACATGTAGTCTAGAAAAACTGAACAAACGTGTGTGTGAAACGATAAATGTTGCAGTCTTTATTTAAAAACGAAAATGGATCATTCTATAAAATACGCGTTGTCATCTGCAATAAACACCTGATGCCACACAACTACCCCCCCAGTGGCACAGCGGTATTTCTGCGGACTTACAACGCTAGAATCCGGGTTTCGATACCCGTG